CTGTTTCTGATTGAATTTGTTGTTTCTCCAGGGATTTAGACCTGCTTAGAATGAGATGGGGACTGGGAGACCAACTACTTTTGGGAGCAGTCCATGTCAGTTTCAGCAGGCTGACAGATGGTTACTAAGCTTAGCTTGAGTCACCCTTCTCCTTCAGGGGCTCTGGGACCCAAAGAACCCTCATATTTAGATGGGCACTGCCAGCATAAGCAATCTGAGGCTGAGCCAGAACCTCTTTTGCTGTAACTCTGACTAGTTCATCTCAGCAGTTGATCTGAAGTCACCTGGAAACATCTTTTTTTCTCCTCTTTTACATAACAAATTTTTAATTTTGAAATTTAGCATTCTTCTCAGATTTTGTGCCTTAAGCTATTAGATTGCCCATTTTCTTTGTTTTCTTAAATGGCACAATTTTTATATTCTATTTCCCTCCTATCTACTTCTATTTTGTCAGATCTGTTTTTAAAAACACCTACTAAGTATTCTCACCAGCTAAATCAGGAATGCTTCTCCCTGTAAATAGGACAAATAATCTATTAAAATAATCACAGTTTTATTTTCTTGTTTTAGCATAAGATGGTCCTTATTTGTGGTCATGTGACAGCAACCTACTGTTGTATAACAAATGACCTCAAACTTAGCAACTTAAATGCTTATCATAGTTTCTAATCTAGGAATAATGATTTGGTTGGGTTGCTCATTGTCATGTATAAATTAATTTGTCAGTTGAGACTCTAGAGCCTGAAGATTTGATGGGAACTGGACAATGAGCTCACACATAGTGCTGAAAACAGGAGACATTAACTGACCCTCTTCTATATGATCTGTTTCCTTCAGTGTCCCTCATTACCCAAGTTTGAGAGTCATATGGATATACTTTTACAATATTTCACTAGTCACACAGACCAGCTCTAGTAGAGGCAGGGATCATTTTGATCATTTGGGATGCAGAGGTATTCAAATATTTTTATTTATTTTGGTATTGGGAATCAAACCCCAAGTGTCACACATGCTAAGAAAACACTGCCACTGAGCCACATGCACAGCACTGGCTCCATGGTGCTCTCCATGCTGACAGTTCTAGCCAACCATTTCCATGTATCATCTTACTTAATGGTGCTGAAATCTTCCCAAGATGATACTATAACCTCTTTCTATGATTAAGGCGAGTGATGCTTAGAAATGTTAAGTAACTTAACAACATCATGCTCTGTGACCAGCAGAGAAAATTTGGACTATAGGAGAAAATGCTTCTGCTTTTTTACCCTTTCCACATCTGGACATATCCTTCCCAATCTACTTTTGCAAATCATTTTTTTTTAACTGTAATTACAGAAGTTTTCACTTTTCTTCTGCTACTTTACTAAGTAAGCATTATCATGTCACTTTGCTTCATTGTGTGCGTGTGACATCCTTTCATTTATACTAATGCCATCCACAAGTCTTCTATTTGGGGACACGACACAGTGGATAGGAAGGACACAGTCTACAACCAATCATTAAGAACTCAAAATTTAAAGATTGTTTTAAGAACCAAAAGCTCAGTTTGTTCCTTGTCCATGCAGATATTAATGTGTACTTGGACATATAAAGAACTGATTCAAGTATTTTAATCTGTTGCTCTTTTCTTTGGTGATATTTTGGTTGTGATCTAACAAATAAAGCTTGGCTGAAGACCAGAGTGCAAAGCTAGCCACAGCCATGGAGGCCAGGCAGTGATGATACACACCTTTATCCCAGCAGCCACACTAGTTAGCCACAGAGGATAGTCAGTGGTGGTACACACCTTTCATCCCAGCACTCAGAAGATAGAGGAGATGGGGTCTGTTAGTTCAAGACCACCCTGAGCTACATGAAATTGATCCAGTCTAAAAGAGAAACAGAGTTCATAAAAAGGTGGCCTCAGCATTTGGGATCCCACACCTTTACTCCCATCACTAGAAAGGAATATAAGGCAAGAGGAAACAGGAGCTGTGAGTCTGAGAGGCAGTCTGAGGTTTGGTGGAGACAGATGCAGTCTGGAGATGCAATCTGAGGACAGGATCGCCCCTTCACTCTGTGGTAGAGGTAAGAGATAGTGGCTGGCTGCTTTGCTTCTCTAATCTTTCACCACCACTCCACCCCTTCCCCTTTTTGGACTCTGGGTTTTTATTAAGACCAACTAGATTTCTGGCTACATTTCACAAAGAAAACTTCTCAGAAATTGCTGAAACCTCCTACCCGTTTTGCATCTTTTTGCTGTAACTATGGGCCTGGGCACCTCTCCACACTCAGCTCCAGACCCTATCTCCTAGAAAGTGCTAGTCACTTTCTTTTGTTTTTCAGGGCCCAGAATGTGGAAACTTACTTAGAGATGACTGGTATTTTTTTAATGCCAACTTGACTTAATATTTAGAGGAGATGAAAGTACATAGCATCAGTGTAAGAAAACACCAAATATTAATATTTCCTTAAAAACACCTTTTTTAAATTACCCATATTGGTTGGGTCTCTCTTTAAAACTTTTATCTCTCCATTCCTTTCAGAGCAGAGCACCCAACTCTTTTTCTGGCATAGAGCTCTGGGCTATGCTCACCTAGCCAAGGGCTCAATTTGCTCTTGTCTAGTAGCAAGCAATCTGAAAGGGTGTTGGTTTTTGAGACAGCAACTTACTGTTAAGGCAGCATCTTGACATTGTTGTATGGAAGTCATAGTCTTCCTGTTTGAGCCTCCTGGGTACAGGAGCCACAGGCCCACAATACCACTCTCAACTGCAGTAAGTTTCAATGCCCCTTGTTTCCATTTACTTCAGCTTCCATCCCTATGATCTACCAGCAATGTGAAAGTAGGGTTGCTTTTTCAAGTACAACATAGTTTCTCTTAGAAGGTAGAACAAAGTTTCTGATTTAACCTCATTGTTTAATTCTCATTCTGTTAAGCATAGTGTCGTACCAACAGCCCTGAAAGTTATAAGAATGGAGAATGCATGCAGAAAAACCCAGAGAAGTGTAGACAATGGAGGCAGAGTAATGGGGGGAAAACATTATAACCCACCCAGTTGTTAGATAATGAGAATCTTGTTTCAAGACAGTAGCACAAGAAAGGGAAGGATAATGTGGAAGTGAAAAGTACTGAAAGCCTAGAAAGGGAGGCAGAGTAAAAACAGGTGTGGGGCATTAGTTATACTGAACTTAATAATACATTGAAATCAATTCAAAAAGTGAGAAAGTAGACTAGTAAAGACTTTTTTTTTAAAATGATAGTGAGGATCAAGAGAGACATGGATGAGGTAGAGATTAATGTAGCATGTGTGGGTAAGAAAAATCATCAGGAGAGGGCCATGTTGACAAGTCACAACATTCCTTATGGAATTCTACTGAGTAAGAAACAAAACAGACCCCTCTTCCTCCCCACCTACCCTGTTGCAAATACATTCATTCATTCAGCATCTTCCAAGTGTCTCAAGTCATTTCAGCATATGCTCTGATACTAAGATGAACTAGATGTTTCCTGTACTGACTGAACCCACAACCCAGAGGGACTGTGACAAGGGGAAGAGGATGGAGTGGGACACATAAATTGAACTGGCATGGTGATATGTTATAATCAAGATGGATTACCGCTATGCCTTGGGCTTTCAGCTATAGCTTCCTTGTTCTTGGTAAGGAAGAAATAAGGGCAGGGATGCCACAGCAGGGAAAGAAAAGCAACGAAGTTCTAAAACATTCTTAAAAATATAATCATCGGCTGCCAAGAGAGCCAGCTTTTGAAAACCCCAAACCAAAAAATAGTATTAAATAATAATAATGTAAGAGTCAGTTGCACTTTCCTAAAGATCCAAGAGCTCAAATGGACTGGGATAGTATGGAAGAAGGCAGGCTACAGGACAAAGGGCTGTGGGTGGATGCCTTGACCTGTTCTAGGACCCAGCTTGACAGTGAAGAAAGGATACAGATCTACCAGATAGATGAGGAGCTAATAGAAGCCATCATGCTTTCTGCTTCCTCAGAGAAGCAGCAGCCTTTGAAACCAAATGTCTATCTTCTTCCACCCATCTCCACACATTCATAGATTGTGATGGATAAAGGTCAACCAGGTTACTGAGTCTGTATTTCCCACATCACCAGGGTTAGCACAGGACTGATACTCCAGCCAGTTGGCACTGGAGACTGCTGAGAGATGTTGGCAGCAGATGCCTGCACTGGAAGACTGGTAGGAAAGATAATGCTTTGCTAATGCCAACAAACAGGAGCTACTCAGGCCTGCGTGCTTCCTCTCGTGGATAAGCAGGTGCGATGAGACCACTTCTACTGCAAACCTTGAAAGAGAGGCAACCTAGGAGATGAGGTTGCAGAACTCATGAAAGTCTTCATTTATTCAAGTTTATCCTCATAAGAAACTGAACACGATGCTAAGCAGAATTTATACACAAGAACATACTGTGTTCTTCTGTGCACCTGAGGTAGTGAGCTGAGAGTATGCCTGCTCCACAGACCGCCATGAAGTTGACAAAGGCAGACAGATCTGGTGCTGTGTAGGGCAACGGAGTTAACTCTTGCCAGTGCTCTAAGGTCAGGAGACTGAGGACTGTCTGAGCAGGCTGGGTGGTAGAGGACAAGAGCAGTGCAAGGGCAAAGGGGACAGAAGGGAACTCACACAGCCATCATGCAGGAGTGACAGACAGGAGGCTGTAGTTACTTGTAATGAGTTATTCAAATCAAGCCAAAGCCTGCAAATCCTTACACACACAGGGCACAAGGATTCTGGAGAGGCCGGATAGGTGATGTCATGGTGTTTGCTTTTGGAACCCCCAGACTGGGAGCACAGGAAGAGCTTAGACTGATTCTATTAGAACTGATGCAGGCTCATTTTCCTTCTCTCATCTTTCCTAGTATCATATTCATGTTCCTAATCACATGCAACCCTGTACCACACAAGGAAAGTACCCTTTCTCATTCTGTGGAAACTGGTCTTTAGCAGAATCCAGGCATAGGAAGTGAAATTCAGTACCATATGGAATGTAGTGTTAACAGCCCAGGCTTTAATAACACACCATAACACACTGACTCAGGATTAAACATATAGAAACATCTCCCCTGTATGCATGTGCCTGCACAGTATTTCTTAAGGTTATTAAAATTTCTATGTGGAACTGGGAAGCAGGTAACATTTTATTTACACAACATGATGACTCTTAATGTTGGTTGCAGCTGCCCTCTGGTGGAAATGGGCAGTGGTTTCAGGGCAGTCACAGCAGCCAGGCTGTGTGACTGCTTAATATTCTAGAATCTTCCCACAGCTTGCTCTTCAGATCCACCAGTGATTCTGTCATTCATTGACACTTCACTTTATCTTCCAAGAGTGGATTTAACTTTCTACACACTGACCAGGTCAAGTGAATACTTCTCTAAAAAACACCTGGAGTGGTTAAGAGCAGGCACTCTGAGGGCAGACTGGCTGAGTTTGAATTGAGCTGGCACACTGACTCCTTACCTTGACCTGTGGCGAGCTGCAGAGCCTTTGTGATTCTTCATGGGCAAACAGGCAGTCTAGTAAGAAGCCTTCCTATATGGCTCTAGGCAGGTTAAGGGACATAGGAAAGGGCTCATAACAGTCCCATACAAAGTAGTGACTCTACTGAGATTTGTTTTATAGTATTAAAACACACTGTAATGACCAAACAACAACTGACTGAGAGTATCTGAAAACATTTCAAGGATGAACACCAAGTCGGAGGAAATTCTGGTTAAAAACAAAACAAAACTGTTGTCAATAGATATCTTTGAACTTGGCTGATTCCCACACAGAGGACAATTTTCTTCAAGGATAAGCAATTGTGCCTCTAATCTTAGGTACAAGTGGGCCTAGCTTGCTTCAGGCATGTTTTATTTATTTAATATAGTTTATTTTTATCTGTACTTATGTTTTGGCTGGATATATGTGTGTGTGTACCACATAGGGCTGTGGCCTACTGGGGCTGGACGAGGGTGTCAGGTCCCCTGGAACTGAAGGTAGAGGTAGGTGTGAGCTGCCCTGTGGGTGCTGAGAACTGAACCTAAGTCCTCTGGAAGAGTAGCCAGTGCTCTTAACATTTGATATATTTCTTCAGCCCTTCAGATCTTCACAATGGGCTAGTTACAGATTACAAAGATGAGATGCTACCATTTTGATTATTTTGTTATATTTAAATCTTTATAAAATAAAAGCTCCTGGAAAGGATTGATTATCTTTTAGTTTGTTCAAAAGGAAAAGACACCCAGGGAGACAGGGTGGTGTTTTCTGTTTACAACACAATCTTGCTTTGGAGATATTAAAGGTTATTTTTGAAGAAGGGAATGAGCACACTTTATCTCAGCTCAGTTACTTAAGAATGAAAACAGCTTACTACTTCTTTTCTGCACTTAGGGATTATTGTCCAAATGTGATCTAGTAATTAGTAATTATCGTAATTTACCCTAGAAGTAAAATGTGCTGGAATTAGTTCCCCTTGTTAATAAGTTCTGTGAGAATTTTCCTGGACATGAATCTGCTCCAAACAGCAAAGGAAGTGATGACATTTAGTAAGCAGAGTCTTTAAATTAAATTGGAAATGTTAAGAACAACAAAAAGTTGAAGCAGTGAGGCACATCCCTAGCCCATCCTTGGAGGCAGTGAGGCAGAGAGGCACATCCCTAGCCCATCCTTGGAGGTGGTAAGGCACATCCCTAGCCATCCTCAGAGGCAGAGAGATAATGAAAGACATCCCTAGCCCATCCTTGGAGGTGGTAAGGCACATCCCTAGCCTGTCTTTGGCATTTAGCCTCCCACTGCTCTGGATAGTCTCACCTAGCTCTGACAGGGTCACTGGCTTCCTCCTGACTTATCAATCACAGCTCCTCAGGTACTAAGGTGCCAAAACTCATCTTTATGCCTTACAGGGTACTGGTTTGCTTGCAATAAAGGTTTCACAATGAGAAAAACATTTATTCATTCAGCAAATATTGAGTACCTGATAAGACCAGATACTATACTAGTCAGAACATATGGAATGTAAGGAGCAAACATAAAGTTGCAGCTAATGGTATTTCCATATGTCACTGAATGAGTGACAGTTTTCAGTGTTTCATTAAATGTGTATTAGGAAGTGAACCACAGTTGAAGACATATAGACAATGAAGCTAGAAATGCCAGAACTGTTTTCAGCAGAGCTTTTGGCTCCCTGCAGCTGCCGATGTTCTCAGACAGCAGGGGCAGTTCTCAGTAGTGCACTTGAGGCCTGGTGGTGTGAGTAAGACCAAAGTCATTTCTGGCTCTGACATTTAGGTTTTCATTTGCTAACTAAAGCAACCAAAGAAACAAATCATGAAACACCAATTATGAATCCAAATATTTCACAGCATGGGAATTGCCCTGACTTCTCCATCAGTGACGGGAAGAAGTTTCTGGAAGGCAAGTCTAGAGAGGCAACTGATGCAGAGCACAGGTTAGCCCTGAACAGCACTGGTGTCAACGCAGCTGCTGTGACCCAATAGCTACATGGAGCAGAGAAGCAAAGGGCAGGCTGGCGAGCATGCAGGGCTACTTCATCTCCAGGATGGCACTTCCAGGTCCACGGCTCTTAGCACTGCAGATGTTACAGTACTGTGCAGGAGCATTCTGAAAAGAAACAAAAAGCACAGGGTAAACAACTGTCTCACATCCAGAAATATGATTATAGCATCAGGGGGTCAAGGGCTTTGGCGTGATTAAATATCATTCCTTGCTCCAGAGAAGACGTTTTTAGCTCTGACATGTTCATTCTACTGTCACTCTGCAACTCAAAAGACACCAGAGAGCTGGGGAGATAGCTCAGTTGATAATATGCAAGAACAAAGACCTGAGTTTAAGCCCCAGAACCTATGTTAAAACCAAAACCAAACCAGGCATGGTGGCCTGTGCTTGTAATCTAGTCTTGGGAAATGTGGACAAGTGGATCCCTGGGCTCACTGCCAGGCCAGTCTGGATGATGTGATGTGAAGACCCTGTTGCAAAGGAGATGGCAGAGAAATGACATCTGAGGTAGTTATCTGGCCTCTGTGGGTACTTACACACACACACACACACACACACACACACACACACACACACTACACAGGCAAAATAAAAGGACACCACAGCAGAACCAGCCTTGTGTAGCTTGGGGGTAACAGGCCAAGAAAACTCCACTAGTTTGAAAATGTTTTTTACCACACAGGCCATAGCCCAGTAGTCAAGTCATTAGCATGAATTTACTCAAGTGGATATACTTTCATGTTAACTATAGTATACTGTATACTTCATATGGAAAGTAAACAATATACCTTTGTGACAAAAAAAAAGGAGGAGGAGGAAAGAAAGTGAAACCATGAGAGAATTCCAGGACTCCTTTCAAATAACAGAATCCACAGAAACTCAATTCCTTCTGTCCTGGATAATTTAATCCCCCACCCCTCAACTTGACACAAGTTATAGTCACCAGAGAAGAGGGAACCTTCCTTGAGGAACTGCCTCTATTACTCTGGCCTGTAGACATGTCTGGGGGCATATTCTTGATTAATAATTGAAGTGGGAGGGTCAAGGCCTGCAGGCAGTGCCACCCCTAGGCAGGCGGTCCTAGGTTCTATAAGAAAGCAGGCTGGCCAAGCAGGTATCCATGCTCATCCCTAATCTCTGCTTCAATTCTGGCCTCTACATTCCAGCCTTGATGTCACTCCATGATGGACTTGTAAGCAAATAAACCCTTTCTTGACCAAGTAAGGTTCTGTTAGTGTTTTATGAAATAATAGAAAAGAAAATTAGATCATGGTTACATATAAAAGCACACAACCTAGTTATATTCCCTATACATTTAAAACATCTCCAATTACTTACAATACTAAATACAATGTAATGCTGTATTACATTGTATGCTTAGGGAATAAATACAAGAAAGGAAAAGTCTATATCCCTAGTATAATGTAGCATTTCTTCAATATTGCTGATGCAAGGTTGGTTCAATCCATGGATGCAGAACCCATGAATTCAACAAGAGTTACAGGACCAACTATCTTGTCTATTAGAATCAAGAAAGCTAGAGCCATAAGGATGATGGCTTCTAGTTGTGATTACTCTGATTTGATCTGTTTCTTTAGAGCTGACAGGTGTCGGGGTGACAACGTACCATGCTTGGCATGGGTAGGCACTCCTTGTGGAACATGTGTCGACAGTGGAAGACCACCACGCTGAAGGGCTTAGCCGCATCTGCAAAGGGTTGGGGACAGAGGAGAAGAATTCAGTGCAAAAGGCAGATCAGGAAATGGTTCAGCCAGCCCTGAACAGATTTCCCAGCAACAGGCTGCCCTTGAGGCTTCCTTACAAAAGCATCTTGAGGGGTGAGGAGCCCAAGCACAGCACTGGTACTAGAATCACTTTGCTATGAACTATAGTTTACAGGTTACTTGCTTGGCCTCAGCTTCAGTTACCAAAATGATCAAGACAGTGTAACACAAAAAATAAAAGGCCCAGAGACAGATATTGGGGTTTAACCTGATGATCAGGGAAGCAAAGCAGCCAAGCTACGAGAGAGCTTTTACCTCTAAAAGGGCTGGGGTACTCCTATTCTCAATGTGGCTGGAGAATGAATGCCTCATACTGAGACTGTGCTCCTGTCTTATATACCTCCCTAATGCTGGGATTAAAGGCATGTGATCCCAGGTGCTGAGATCATCTTTGAGTGAGCTGTTTTCTTTAGGACAGGATCAATCTTGTATAGATCTGGGTGGCCTTGGACTCATAGAGATCCGTCTACCTCTTAATTCTGAGTCCTAGGATTAAAGGTGTGTACCACCACCTTGTAGCTTCTGGCTGCTGGGATTAAAGGTGTGTGCCTGGCTTCTATGGCTTGTGGCTGACTTTGCTTTCTGAATCCTCAGACAAACTTTAATAAATCATAAATAATGTATCACTACAGTGCAGGACAATTTCACAGCAAATATGGTAATGTTTATTTGAAAAACTAGAATGCATGTGTCCCCATGTGTGTCCTGACTACAATTCCAAATCTGAAATCAAGTGTGTAGCTTGATAAAATGTTTCAGTTCACCTTACCTTCACCTAAACCTGCCACTGAGACTGGAGGCAGAACTGGATGAGGACCCTAGGTTCTGCATTTTACTACACTTCTGTTTGGTCAGGTCCTCTCATCTGCTCTGTTATATGGCCAGATTAGTTCTGATAAGACCTAGTGCCCTCCACAGGAGAAGCTGAGAATGTCACTTTACAGAGAGATGCATGGCCCCTTTCCACTGAAAGGCCACCTAAAGCACCATGGTTTACAGAACCACTTAAAACCTTGCTCCCCTGGGGACAGAGCTTGTGTGAAATGACTTCTACCCTCCTGTGCTACAGAATACTTCCTAATACCAGCTAACTGAGCAGCAATACCTCTGCACTTTTCCATGTTGATTTGTATATTAAAGCATCCTCACAACTATGCTTTGATTTCTACTTTCAAACTATGAGCTTCCTTTCTCATGTTGGAATGACCTTTCGATAAAGAACATTATCTTATATATGATGATCTACCAAGAAACAGGGACAGAAGCCTCTACCTTTCAATGAGTCAGTCAAATTTGATGCTGACTACTGTTCCCACCAAGATGGACTAGGGTCTGGGCACCTAGAACTACAGTGAAGATGAGGCCACTCGTCAACTTCCCCAGATATTCACGTGGGTCTTTTCCCTTAGAATTGAAATATGTGGACAGTTAAGTTTTCATTTTGCTTTGCTTTGCTTTTGATGAATATCAAAGAAGGACCCCTAACCAGAGCCATTAGCATCACCTTATTAGAGTAGCAGCTTTCAGGCCCACACTCCCTGGAACTCTGAGCCCTGTGTCAGGGTCAGTATTGTGAGTTCTTGCAAAGCTCCCAGATGCTGACACACCCTGCTCTGTAGTCAGCAGCAGCAGAATTCACAGGAGCAGGGAAGGGGCAAAAGTCCTTCCTCAACTGTAAAGTCAAAATTTTACAGGTACTCATCAGCTAATTTCAAAATCTTAACCTCACCCATCATGAAGCTGTGTTTGGGAGATGATTTTCCCTGTAGGCATCTTACCTGTTGGGAGGATGGGAGAAAGACACGATTCACAGATATTCTCTTCTGTAAGAAAACACACACATTGTGGGTTAAACACACTTCTGTTTTCCTGGCCTCTCTGGAAAGCACATGGCTCTGAATGTTTTTCAGCTTTACCCACCATCGACCAGAACGCCTTTCATTTGGGTTCGGTGCATTTTCTTCAGCAATGACAGAGAGTCAGCTACGAGGATTTTCTTGCAGCCTTCCCGAAGCAGAATCTAATGTACATGTTTAAAAAGAAAAGACCCGTTAGTAACTCAAGCATCAGGAGTGTCTAACTGAGGAATCAGAAAATTTCAGAGGCACTTAATGGTTCCCTTGCCTGCCAAACATTGTCAAGTGAGCAAGGCATTATTCTTGGCAATTTATTTGTTTTTATGAGCATATTATGGTATTGGTAAATCAAGTACAAATCCCAAAGTCTTGAAAAGTCCCTGCACTAAAATTCTGTTATCTCACAGGCATTTGCACTTTGCATGTGGTTGCTTGCTGGCACTTTGGTCACAGAGTCAATCTTTGCACAGGATGGAAAACTTGTCATTCCAAAGCCATCTACTCACTTAATAAACCCATCTATTCTCTGACAAATGCACTGGGTCTGTCATGAGCAAGGCATCAGGTGCAGATGAGAAGTGTGCAGAGAAGCCTTGACTACCTGTGCTTGTGGGTCACTGTAAGTGCTCTGGTACCCTTTGGCTTTCTTCACAGTGACATCACCCTCAGTTCTAAACCCAGACTTGTGATTTTCTTCCACAAGTGTAAATTCACACCACTGGGATTGGGAGTGGGGTAAGCTGGCAACCACAGTCCTCCATGGCAACCACACACAATGGCAAACCACAAGAACATCAGCTCTGGGTGAATCCAGCTAGAGGCTGCCTCCAAATCACATGATGTGACACATTCAGGACCAGAACTGATGATTACAACTCTATCCCTATGGCTTTCCAGTGTTTGGTTATGACAAGCAAGACTGCATGGTTCTAATATCCTCCTGTTCACTTTCATATGACTTGTGGAGGGCCTCTCCTCCTCCTTTTTTATCATTTTTATGAAAATGTGTCTTAATATACAGGAATACTCCTGGCCCAACCTCCCAAATACTAGGTATGTACCACACTGCTTAGATTTAACTTCCCTGTCAGATTCTACTAGAAATGTAACATATTTTGGTTTTCTTTTAAAAAGATGTTCTTATTTTTATAATAGAAATCATATTACATACAGGAAAAAGAAGAAAAACCAAAAAAGTTATCTACAAAATAATGATGCTGGCAAACTTTCTAAAAATTGGTTAGCAATTATGTGATGCTTTTGTCATCCTACCTCAAAGTAATAAACTCAGTTTCAGCCTCTCTGGTGTAGGGTCAGGAAGTATGGTGACACTCTCCAGGGTACACTTCCTGAGCAGGAATGGATGGAGGTTACAGCCCATGGAACAGACACAGACCATAGGATGCAAAGAAAACAGCAAAGCCTAAGGACTAAGGACTCTCCCCCGCCAGGACTGCATTTCTATGCAGGTACACCCTGCCTGTTCACAGAAAGTATTTGCTAGGTACATTTCAGTTGTCAAGAGTCAAGAACCCATGAAAAGGAAAACTACAGTGATAATTTTGCCCAATTCTATCAAAATCCAAAGCTCTAAACCAGAAAAATATGAAAAAATTCTAAGTGTAACTGAAATGATGCTAATAAGGTAGTTGTCAGTTGTCCACTGACAAAAATGTCTTCTGCAATACTTACAACATCTGCAATAGTTTCAAGCAACCAAGGGAAGCCAGCAAAAGAAGACAAACAGTACACGCCTGTATAAGCATTCTCTTTCCTGTGCTGGTTTCCCTCTCATGTCACTTTCAGAAATGAGAATGAGTTTCAACTGTTGAATAGAAGAAAGAGCAGAGGCAAGATACAAATTGGCTCATGTATGAAGCTGTCTCAGAAACGGGCTTCATTAAGGAAAAGGGAGTTACGACCACATGAACTAGGATGGGAAGAAGACTAAAAAGGGACAATTTATTCTATCAGGAATAATGACATGAATGGAGCCTCAATGGGAAGAAGAGGTTTCCCTTTAATGTATGAGACGGGGTAGAGGGAAGAGGAGAGCCATGAAGAAAATCCCTAAAAAAAAGGAAGTTATCTGACTCTTGTTTCCTTTTGGAGGTGGTGGAAGTTTTCCACAGCACTGAGTCTGAACTGGCCTACTTGACAGGAATATGGTGGAGCCAGAGACTAGGATAGAGCAGGTAAATTAGGAGCTGTAAAGTCACAGCACAGTAGGCTTAACTGTCCCAGGAAGAGCTTTCAGGAAGTGGGATCTGACCTCTCAGAGTGACTATCATATTAAAGGGACAGGCCTATGATCTAACTAAAACAGTTTTGTCCTGATGAAACCCCACACCTGCAGAAAAGTAGATACACTATTATCAACCCCACTTAGTAACGCTTCTGGCCTTAAGAACTCCATCCAAGAAAAAAAAAAAAAATTACTGCCTCACATTAACTTCATAACACTAGATTCTCTCTCAAAAATATTTATTGGCATTTCTCAGAAGGAACAATATTACCTTTTCAGAAGTTCTTCTTCCATATAGAATGTCTTTCTATTTTTCCCAGATTATACACCTAAGGACCAACTTCTTCCCTCACTTGTTCCTCTCCACTTTCCCTTTATAATTTGTTTAAAAGAAACAAGCTACAACTAGACAATCAATGGTCCATCCATATTCTATGGTAAAGTTAAATGAGCGCATACTTACAGCATTGACAACCAACTTGAGACCTTAGATTTGCTCCGTATTTTTTCTGATTCCTCTACAGCTTACAACCATGGATAATAGTTCCAAGTAAAAGGAAAATTGCAGCCTCACAGATACTTCACAAAGCAATAAAGAAGCACACATCAGAGAAGTCACTATGGTTCCTTAGAAACATCTGCTGTGGGGAATGTGCCAGAAAAATGGCCAAGTTTCAGCAGTTTTTATTTGAAAAGGCTCTAAACACTGGGATTTTGTTGGCTTTGCCTCATTCACTTTGCATGTGCTTGTCCTTAGACTGCAAATGGCTGCCAGGTAGCTGTCTTCCAAGCCCCATGAGTTTCCTCACTCCTAGCCTCATCTTCAGGTCAGTGGTGTTATGGGACTTCAATTCTACTTGGAATGCTTTGATCTTTTGGATTATTGCCAAAGATGACTAAGTACAGGGAGAAAAAAAATGTGAAAGATAAACATGAAGGCCGACTTCTCATTTACAAAGACTTTAATATCATGACTATATTTAACATATAACAACACAAAGTATGTATGAGCTAAATGGATTAAGGAAAGTAATGAACTGCAATTCAAGGTCTTTCCTATGCACTATCTTGTTCAGTCTTCCTGGCACCATGAAGGCCGACTTCTCATTTACAAAGACTTTAATATCATGACTATATTTAACATATAACAACACAAAGTATGTATGAGCTAAATGGATTAAGGAAAGTATGGCTGGCCCGCACAGGCCACTTGTGTAAGCTGAAATAATTTGTAAAGAAAAAAGTTCATTTGGTCTCAACAGCTTATTTCAAAGATTTGCAAGTTTACAAACTATCTCAAGAAAAAAACAGGGAAATTAGATAATATGAGTAAAAAAGAAATTTATACCCTGGCCCCCTCCTACCCCAAGGGCAGGCAAGAAAGAAGTTGCTGATTTCTTTAAATTGATTGTGTCTTCAATTTTAAGTAGCAAATGTAAGTATAGGAAAACATGTTTGTAGACCCGGAGATGACTAAAGTGCATCTGGGAAGAGGCCTCAGGTGTAAAATGACTCATTGCACAACACACTATGACCTGTACAGGCTCAAGCCTCTGCTCTCAACAAGGACTCGGTCCCCACATCTCCAGCCTCCTTAGGAACAAGTTCAACAAGCTTGCTGCTTTCTCCAGAGGTGTTACAAACTAAGCCAGGAAGTGGTCCTAACTGGCACATGTTTTTTATGAGTTACCAGTTACAGCTAATGCAGTCTTGATGAAAATGGCATGGCAGTCCCTCTCAGGGCCCTGAGTTTAAAATTAGGTCAGTATCTGCACGTACTAGCAAGTCATTAACCTTTTGGAGCCTCAGTATTCTACTCTGAGCAATAGGGCTAATGCTAATTAGAGGCCAGTCATAGACCTAAAATGTCTGTCAAAAACAAAGTGGTAGTGACAGAAGTGCTGATTTCCATTTCCCCAACTTCACCTGTATCTGAGGTGAAGACTTATTTATCACTGCGTGGTAAGTCTCCTCTGTGTGAGCCTTCAATGACTTGTCTATTTAGAAAGGACACTGCGAAGGTGTATGGCAGCACACCTGTGACACATGAGGTTGGACCTTTATGTCTGAAGGGTCTTCATATATTCTAGGGTCACTATCTTACCTCCTACAGAGGATTATTGGAAATTCATGGGTCTGTGATACTTCCCTCAAATTTAGGAGAATTATGAGGGGGTTGTACTCTTTTATTATAAATGACAATATGAATTATAGTTTTATGAAACAAAGAAATCAAGACAAATACAGTGACATAAAAGTATGTCTGTGAAAACCTTCTCAGAATTGCCAAAGCTCCAAAGAGACCTGGGATATTTTTATGACTATCCCAAGAGGTTGCTTAGACAAAGAAGATAAACAAATGGCCACTAACAAAAAATGAAAGGGGGGAAAGAGAAAGAGAGAAGACAGGGAGTGAGAGAGCAAGATCTAAAGCCTTCTTCAGTGAGGAGGAGGAAGCACACTTGCAAACTCTGCAGCTTTTCTAACATCTTCCACCAGTGCCTCCGAGCTCCAGTGATGCAGCACTAGTGCGATAGTCTCTGTGGTTCTGTCCCCAACTCTCCGCTCTTCCCTCTTCCTCAGAGGGAGTATTTGTTCTATCCAAGGACCAGTGGCTAATAAGGGTTCTCTGCAGCCACTGTTAGGATAACTCTGGGTCTTCTTAAATCACTACCATAGTATAAGGAACTCTGCCTATACATTTAGATTTGAAGCCTCAAGCATATTCTGCTCTGCCTCAGGAAGTAGGACCCACCAAAGTACAGGATACTAGCAATCTTACTTACAAGGTATCATAAGTTTGCTACTGACCCTATTTCCTCCAAAGCCCACTTACAAGCCTGAGATGGCAGCTTCCTTGTCTGGATCACTGTTCTGCACTGGGGAACTGAAAAAAAAAGTAGGTAATTCTCCCTATTAGCTCATATCTAGATTCTTATTCTCTTCCTCTTTTTCTTTCTCCTTCAAATAATCTCTGAAACCCTCCAAGGCTGCTGGCCATAAATACCAGCATAAGGTTAGGCTCTGAAGAACAGGCCCTCAGTCTCTTTGCCTCAACAAAGCACACATTTCTTCACTAATCCATCTCCTACACAGTGCTGGCAAGTGCAGGTTTCAGATTGTCCACCTCCCATCTACAGAAAAAACAAAAAAACAAAAAACCTCCTTTCAAGTTGTTCCTTCCAGTCATACCACAGTTGTCTGAAGAGCAGAGATGCTAGAGTTTCCTCTGTAGTTCCTCTTAGCCTGCACCAGCCATTTCTCAGAGTCCATTTGGTTAAGTCCATAAGGTCCTGACATCTCGATTTCTCACTTAATTCTTCTCCAGCCACTTTTAACCCCCCCCCAACATACCTTCACCACAACTATGGAAATGCTAAAGTAACAGTATCATATTCTAGAGTCCCTCATGGTCTGCCACTCCCGCCCATCTTCTCACTGATTCTTGGTGCCATCACCCTTAGTTCAGCAGGCCGTCCTCCACTTTGCACCCTTCACAGTGACCAGAAATCTGACATATCTGCCTCATAATGTTCTTCTTACAATGTGAAAAATGCATACTGTTGCCAGGAAAGCAAGGTCATCTATTACAACAAAAACATTTTCAAATGATTGTAGAAAGCATGATCTGCATTTTAACACTTACGACTCCTAAGGAAGCTACCAGGATTTTGAAACATATCTATTGTTCAGTCTTTTAAAGAGAAAGGTTAGGATGCTAGGTAAATAGAGAAAGGTTAGGATGCTAGGTAACTAGTGTATTAATCATTTATCTGAAAATAATGGGTTCCATTTTTAACACAGATTTTGAACTAAAGGGGAAATAAAGTAGCACCATCATGCCAGCCAGACAAAGGCTCATCAGATTCCATGTTTAAACATGTTAGGGCTCATTAGATCTTGTGTTTAAGCAGGTCTCAGACAACAGAGTCATTCGATGGCTGCAAGGAAAATTATTTGAGTGTTTAAAGATATAGCTTATTCTCCAAAGTGCACACAATATTTATTTTCTCTAAAAACATCTTGTGGCCTGCTCAAATAGTCTGTGTAAGAATTCTCACTCCCTCTTCAATGCTATACTATATTTACCATACAAGTGAAAAACACCTTCTCAAGAGAAAGTCTGGAGGTGACTGAGGAATCAAACGGCTTCCTTAAGCTGAGATGTTTGCAGTTTCTCTATTTGGACAGGTTTCCAAACATTGAATTACAAAGTCTGACAGACATCTAAGAAATGAATGAACCTGCTCAATCATATGCTCCTCTGTCTAAGAATACTTACCTGCAAGTTATAATCCTGCAGAATCTTAACCAAGGAATCTCTCAAATTGGGAATCTCCATTCCTTCCTTTATGCGGTGGATTAGAAGAATCGGGTCCACGTGTGTGCCAATGTTGTTTAACAAGCCAGTAATAAATGCTACAAAACACCATGTAAAAATAACACATAAGCCACTCAGGAAGCAGAGGCAGGCAGATCTCTGCAAACTCAAGGCTAGCCTAGTCTACAAAGCAAGTTCCCTGTCTGGAATCAAAAACAAAAAAACCTGAAAACAACCAAACAAAAACAAAAAACCACCCAACCAACCAAACAAAAACACATGAGCAATATTAGAATGCATTTTATTTGTTCACAATTCTACTTTTTAGACCAAAATTAACAACCTATTTTCTTCAAGGTAAGTGTTAAAAATGTGAATTTTGAAACTCTCAAGAACTCATCCTCTTTAAATTTAAATACATTTTTAAGGGCTAATTTCCTCTAAGACAGTGTTTCTCAACCTGTGGTTTTTGGCCTCCTTTGGGGTCATATATCAGATATCCTCATTATGACTCATAATAGCAGTAAAATTACAGTTATGAAGAGGAAAAAAATAATTTTGTGGTTAAAGGGTCACAGTATTAGGAAGGTTGACAACCACTGCTCTAAGGCAGAAAGGAGAAACTGAGAACATTTTACAAAAAATTAAATGATATCTTTTATTCACTCCTTTTCACAATCATTTTATTATCAAAGTGCAACCAGCACTGAGAACTTTGATCACTCAGCTATTCTATACTTTAACAGTTTTCAAGGTTAGCATATATTGTGTTTTCCTTTTACAGACAAGGGAAGTGGGTATTTAATTTATCCAGTGTCCTGAAGCTCATAAGTAATGAACTCAAATTCCAACCATGTTAGATTCCTTATAGTTTCAAGAGAGAAAGTCCTCAAGGTTTATTTTAACTGTAAGCTACTTACATGAGAATATAGCCCCCTGACAACAACAACCACTAACCAAATCACAAAGCAGCAGGGAGATGAGAGAACCTCTGCAGATGGCTGAGCTGAACTCTTAGCACTGCGTTGATAAAATAGGTTGGAAAGGGCACTACTTCAATTCAAAACCTCACCCATGGCTACCATCCAGTAAGTTATGCATTTTCATAAAGGTCTGAAAAGGGCTCTGAGATTTCACACTGAGGGCCTCTTTGTATACAAACCCACACCAAGCCTCGTGGCATTTATCGGTGGAGCTGCAGAAGGCATGGTATATAACTATATAACCATCCTTACCCTCAGGCTTCCAGAGCCAGGCTCAGGCCTTTCTGCATGGGAGGAGTAAAAATCCTCAGAACTTTCACTGCTGGACTCATTGTGGATGTTTTACCATCAAAACTTTATTACACTCATCTATCTATTTATTCACTTATATTGATTTGTACTGTGTGTGTGTGGGAGAGAGAGAGAGAGAGAGAGAGAGAGAGAGAGAGATTCACATGCTACTGGGTGCTCATGTATGGAGTTTGAGAACAACTTAAGGGAGCATAGTTTCCTTCCACTATGTGGGACCTGGGGATTAAACTGCTCCACCAACCCACTTGGTCATAATTTTAGCCCAATGTACCCTAAGATAACTCTTCTTTATCCAATGGGTATAATATATACTGACAATTTACAGTCAAATGGTCTCTCTGCTTACGTGGTTTGTCAATGGAATACAGAATCAGGTCTTCCCAGAGCTCTCCATCATCTTGCTCCTTGGCAAACTCAATTGCTTTATCAACATCATGTAATTCCTCCATAATCATCTTGAGGGCACTTCGACTGTTTCCCATTCGGCCTAGAAGGGGTAAGGAAGTGTGGAATATGTTATTCATTTTAAAAAGAAACAGCATATTTCTTAATTTGTTTACAAAGCTTGAAAGAAAAGACTAAAGTGGACTTTCTTATACTACACTATCATTTCCTATCTTTGACAGCCAAATACATACTTCTTATGTATTGAGTGCTCATGTTGTGTAGAGTGTTCATTAGATGGTGTTTGTGAATGACATCATTTAATCACACTATGATTTTAGGCAGGATGCTTTATCTAAGTCCCTACTTTATTTTGTTTTGAACTTTTATTATTTAACTTTATGTGCATGGATGTCTTGGTTGCATGTATGTGTGTGTACCATATGCATGCCTAGTGCCCACAGAGACCAGAAGAGGGCACTGTATCCCCCTACAACCAGAGTCATGAAATTGGAGTGAGCCACCATGTAGCATGTGATAGCTAGGGATTGATAGACCCTCTGGGAGGACAGCAAATGCTCTTAACTGCTGAGTCATCTTTCCAGCCTAAAATAATAAATATTTTTAAAACATTTTTTCCTGGGCAGTTTATGGTAGTGGAACAATATTTATCCCTAGTGTATGAATGGACTTTGGGAGCTCATTCCCCATAGAGGGATACTCTCTCAGCCTAGAGGCATGGGAGAGGGCCTAGGCCCTATCCCAAATGATGTGACAGACTTAGGTGATCTCCCATGGATCATCTCCCTGGGGAGCAGAAGGGAGAATGGGATGGGGAGTTGTTCTTCGGGGACATGAGAGGGTAGGAGGAAGAGGAAGCTGGGATTGATATGTAAAATAAGTTAGTTTCTAATTTAAATAAAAAATATTTTTTCTTTTAATTTTGAGACACCCTCACTATGTAGCTCTAGCTAATTTGAAATTAATTATGTAGACCAGGTTGGCTTTGAACCCACAGAGATCTGCTTGCCTCTTCCTCTTGAGTGCTAGGGTTAAAGGCATGTGCCACCATGCCAGGCCTTAATATTACTTATTACTTTTATTTTCAATAGAAGAGGAAATACACTATTTGTAACTTGGCAAGATCATGTAACCACTGACTTGTATAGTTGGATTTTGAGCTGGGTCTTTTGCATTCTGCCTTCCTTCTCACAGTCCTGCAATTTCCTTTAAATTCAAATGCTGATACAGTTAAAACTTTAAAACACTTGGAAATCATTCTGCCTCTTCTGCTCATTAAACCCTTGGCACCTCCTAATTTTCACAAGCTGTTATTAGAGTTCATGTACAAGGCCTTATGTAGTAGAGGGCCAACTGTCTGGAGGAGGTTTATTATATTTACCCTGTCTCTTGTTCAATGCAGGGTCCAGTAAATGGTCATGAATTAAGTCATCTACTGCTCCTAAGACATTATGATAAAGACAACTCAAACAGATACTTCTTGGAGGATCACAGTTGGAAGAAGTCAGTGGATAAGCTACTTGAAGTTGTGATGAGAAGCCCCAAACCATGCTCAAGTAGAAAATACAGCCTCAAATATTTCTCCTAAGTAGAGCAGATCCTATGATTGGACAGTTCTAGGGCTGATGCTGAACATCATGAATTTGCTACCCCATACATAAGATTAGGAGACTTGGGTTACTTTTCAGCAAAGGCCAAAGGAGCCAATGGCAGTGAGTGGTGTGTGGAAGAAAGCTGTGGTGTGAGAAACATGGTATGTGGGTACAGACATGATGCCGAGCATATCCTCACATTTAGTCTATGCTGTATGTCACCAGCACCTGCACAGCTGCATGGTTCTCATGCATTCTGGAAGATGGAGAAGCCTAGTTTCCTGGTACACATCACACACAAACTCTGCCATGTCTGGAGGTAGGAGCACTAAAGCTTTGCTCTTGCTCCAAAGTCCCATGTTTTAATTATTAAGGATGTGAATTTTGAAAATAGGAGTTGTTTCATATCAGAGTGGTGATATAAGCCAATTATAAACTAAAAGGGAGAAAAAAAAACCCAAAGCCAAATCTGTTAGCCCATCTACAATTCTAATCTGTGTTGTGAAATCTGATACATTTTTGTTTGCTTTGTCCCTTTTTCATTACATATTTGCTATGTGTTCTTTTAGAAACATGACTCCAATAACTCCGCTCTGGAATCTCCTTTCCCATGTATTACATTTTTATACAAACTAGGCCTGAATGTCTGTCACTTTGTTCTCAAATCAGTGTTCCTTCTTATATGCTTTATGACAAATCTTCACCCCATATCTATGTTTATGGGAGTAAAATGAACAAATGCTACTTACTCAGAAGGTAAACTGTCTCTTCTACAAAGTTTCTTTGTTGACAGATCTCAAGAGCCTTTAATTAAAGCAGTGAGAAAAGTTACTATAGACTACCAAACAGGAAGACAATATTAAGAGAGCCATTTAAAATTTTTCATTGTTTCCTTAAAAAAAATAGAACAAAACAAAACACATATCTGTGGTTATTTGTTTCCATTCACCTTTCAGAGTTACTGGATTAACACAGGTGAACTGAGATCACACGAAGCAATATAGTGCTCTATCAGCAGAAGCAGCAGTGTTGGAATGTGTTTTTCTATTAAGCATTCTCTCATTTTATACCATTGCTTCCAACCTCATCTATTGTCATTTGTACAAACTGTCTCTTCTCATAGTGTAAGGATGCACTGTGTACTGATGAATCACACAATCACTCTAAATCAAATAACATATATTTAGTATGCTCTCCCTGCTGGATGCTGAAGGATCAGGTTGAGCCAAGGGATCAAAGGTGAGGATAATAGTAACATGGAATGACCACACTCGAGGAGACAGAGAAGGAGCCAAGAAACAAAGAAGCAGAAGAGACAGCACATCCACCCAGGCTCTTGGGCACAAGAAGGATGACAAAGAAATGACCACATGCCTTTCCATGATTGCACTTTGCTGAGAGAGGACCATATGCATGGAGTAAAGACACTAAGTTCGTGTCATTCTCCTGTGACCTCTCTCTGAGGAGAGGTGGCATCTCAATCAGGTACAATACACCAGGGAAACCACATCTCACAGATCATCCTCCTGCAGTACCTGCTTGGTGACCCCCAACTCTATCCAGCCATCTTAGTGTGGCTTTACCCGCCCTGACTACCTCTGCAGTGCCCCCTTTCTGAAACTTTCTCCTCATTCCTTACTCCCTACTCTAGAAAGGACTGGAGACAAGTACTGCCACACTTCACACTGGACCAGATTCTAGATGTCCCTCCATTTTCATCCTGCATGTGGCTTCAAGATTCTCTATCACTAGAATAACTAACTACTCACCATAGTAATCATTCAGTTTCCCTCTGCAGGGACCATGTGTTTGTTAAGCCCTATGCTTAGCACAATGCTGGCCTCACTGTAGAACTGTAATGAGCATTTTCTCAAATGAGGAGAAACAAGCTAACTGGGTTGCATATTTAAAGTAGGTATTTAGAAGCAACCAGGCAGCCAGGAGATTTTGAAAACAAGAATCAAAGCCATAGAAAGAACAGCTTGAGTTAATCATCTCTTTGTGTTCTGTGATTTATCTTTGGAAATAACAGCAGGAGCTGGTCTTGATATTTTGATTTTTGACTTAAATTTTCCTATAGACTATATATTTAAACCAGGTAAGGATGGGGGTGGGGACTGATCACTAAGATCAATGTATCTAAATAAGAAATAAATAGGGAAAAGAGCATCCTTAGTCTAGAATAGGGATGAAGCCAGGACAGTGTTTCAAGTCACACATACCATTGAAGTCAGAAATGACCCACACTTGGATGGTACATTACAGAAACCACTTACTCTAAGTGGCCATTTAATTTACACTGGTTAGCCATGTTTCAGATACTCAATGGTCAGTATGTTTGTTGATGTACCCACAAGGATGGTCCAGGCCTGCTGAGCATACTACCTGAATACTGTTACTGGGTATGTATCCCCAATCTTGTGCAGGTCTCCTGCCAGGAATCATAGTTGCCAAGATCTCAACAGGTTATGCTGTACTGGAGGATGGCTTTTCTTTTGGGGGAGGTTCGAGACAGGGTCTCTCTGTGGCTTTGGAGGATGTCCTGGAACTAGCTCTTATAGACCAGGCTGGTCTCAATCTCACAGAGATCCACCTGCCTCTGCTTCCCGAGTACTGGGATTAAAGGTGTGCACCACCACTGCCAGGCTGGAGGATGGCTTTCTACAATAGCAAGTCTTTGAAATGTGAATTTCCTATGTCATTAAAATATTTATAAGTGGATTCTAACAGTGCCTTATATTATTTTTCTTAACAATGATGAAACTCTAGAATGTAGGAGTTGAAAATGAGTGAAATATAAAAATAAAGTATAGGACACAGAATTCTTTTATTGACACAAATGACTAATGTGGCATCATACTTATTTCAGATTCTCAAATGTTTGGACACTATGTTCTCTCTAGAAGAAAGACTTTAGATGGACAATGAGATAGACAGAAAAGGAGGGACAGACAGACAGATACACACACACTCACATTCAGAGAGAGAGAGAGAAAGAGGGAGAGAGGCAGTTTTATGGCAAAGGTGAAAAGTAAGATAACTGACAGAAATCAAGTAACAAAAGATGCAAAAGTAGCATTCTAACTTCCTTTTTCTTGATCCAGTATGAGGTGAAAGGGGAATTTCAGGGTAGCAAGAGGAACATTGTCAGCTGTAATTAAACAATGACACCTACCTAGCCTTGACTCTGATATAGCCTAGATAACCTTTCTTTAAATCCTGTAGTGAAATTTTATCCACTTTGTGTCCCCAGTGTGTTCACCCAAATGACACACACTGCCACCTTTGAATGTTGTTTAGGAGATCATATATTCAGTTATAAACCTGACAAAATTATAACCAGGGCATCAAATCATAGGATCACATATGGAAATTATGGTCCAAAGACAGGTTTGCAGCTCTATTTTTCTTTATGCTTACAATGCTAAGGAATACCTTTGCTGCTACTTTAGTGAACATTTTAAACTTGAAAAACAATTCCTCAGCACTGTGAAGAACGAGGGGCCTGAGGTTCAGAAGCCTAACTTCCATGTCTGCCCTCAGCTTACAACTCCTCCATTCACACCCCTGTCTCAGCTTGCCAGGTACCAGATGCCTCCATCCATCTAAAGGCATGTCTGTGGAGATGAAGGACATCAAGCAAGTGAAAGCACAGCGCATGGAGGAAGGCAGGGCAGGAGGATTAAGGAACATACTGTTCTTTTAAAGCAGTAGTTGTTAGAAGTTTTTACAAGGTATGTAGCTCCCTTACAATGAACAATTCCAAAAAAAACCCACCTTATAATTGATTTTTTGTTTATTAACTATGTGATTATAAGTCATAGAAATCTAGGACTGAATAGCTGGGATCCTCACAGGGCTTCTGATGTGCTACTACTATCAGAGTTAGGGTTTGGGATTTCAAACCACACAAAATAAGGCAGAGCTGAATACTTCAATATTTCTAGTTGCCCACTTACAACCATTGTTCCTTTCAGCAATTACCCAAGCTCAGAACAGGTAAGTAACCTGACATGGAGGAATTAGTTCTCTGGAGTAAGAGGTTTCTGGGGAGGGAGCATTCAGATTTTAAAGTTTGTAATTTAGTTTTGGGTAAAAAGGCCCCATGTGCTGCATGTCTTTGAGCTGAAACATGTGAGGATGTATCCCACCACTCAACCCCTGTTATCTATGGGTGTCACAGATATCATAGACACCCCTGTCATAGCCTTAGATATCTGCTATTGGGGGATCTAATTTGTCATTCATGGTGGCTTTCTCTGTTTATGGTAAACATAAATAATAATTTCAGAGGTAATTCAGTATATATAGAATTCTCATTTCTAAGGAAGAAAAGAATGAGATCTTCAATGAATCTATAAGTCATGAGTATGTGTCAAAGTTAGCTTTGTTTCAAGATGAGGCAGGGTAGCACTTTTGTGCAAATGGATTTCCTACCATGGATCTTGCTAAAGAAATAATATCTGATTTAGATGTTTCAGTGCCCACAGTGAAAAGGCCATTTAAAGAGTTAAAAAATGCAAACTAGTGCCTTCATCCCTCTCCCCAAAAGAGTAGACAAAGTCCTTCCTTCCTCTGAAGAATTTACACGTAAGTGGGGAATACAGACTAGCAGAGCCAGAGAAATACAGAAGCTCAGTGGAAAATGCTGAGAACAGAGGGACTCTCCCCCTCTGCTTATCAAACGTGGCCCCTGACTGCAGCAGCTGCACTGACATCACTCTAACTCTAAGAAACAGACAGACTCTTTATATCACCTCAGCTTGGTATTTGTTGCCATCGATTTCATATTTATTCCAATTAATCCCTGTCACAGAATGCCGGTGCTCTGCCCCAAAGTCTAACCCAAAGGATATGTCTCACCACAATGGGCCAGTAGAACACACTAGACTCAGCAGCAGCCTTCCCTTGAATAGGGATGAATGCATACATCGAGAGAAGATGAACAAATGGCTTATGAAAGTGGCAACTACTTCTGACGTGTCCATACAGTGGGTCGGTGGCTTACCTTTTCAAGCGGGCAATGGGTACTGTCTCGGAGAAAGGGAAGGAGGTTTGGCCGGTCATATTCAGCATACAGACTGATCTGTTTCTCGTGGTAGCACTGTCCTTTATGATGGTCCCTCTTGAAGAGCTTGTGCAAATACTAAAAGGAACAAGATACACCACAATATCAGAATAAGAATAAAATAACCACTTAACTTTGCTACTTTCAATTGTTAACACCTTCCATGAAGGTTAGGAGACATGGTCTTGAGCAAGAATAATTTCTAGGCGATGAGGAATAGGGAGGAGAATGCCAATTGGTGGAGCAGATTCTGAAACTCTCTAGAAAATTCCTGGCTCTACTGGCTGTCACTGACAACTATGTGAGCTTAGACAAGTCCCTACTCACTCTGTGACTTGGGGTCTTCACCTGCAGAAAACTTCACTGAGTCAAAGCAATAACTTTATGCATCACTGGGAACCATGCCTGGTGTATGCTAAGCATTACATAGCATTAGTGTTGGTAAATCTTAATGTCATCATCTTGCCATCCAAGTCAAATGCCGGGGGTAGCAATCTTAGATGACAACAATTCTATTCTTGGGGCTGGGAAGATGGCTACATGCTTAAGAACATTGCTACTCTTGTAAAAAACCCAGGTTGGATTCCTAACACCCACATGGCAGCTTACACCTGTCTATAGCTCCAGTTACAGAGGATATGGCCTCCTCCTCTGGCCTCCATGCACACCAACAAGCCCACAGTGCACTTACATACATGCAAGCTAAACACTCTACCCAAAAAATTAAAATTAATCTTGAAAATTTTTTCTTCTTTCACATGAAAAGGCACAGGGCCACATGACTTTAAAAAACAGCAGTAACTAAATTAATCCTTACACACTCCTATATCCATTTTTAGAGAATTAATATAATCCTTTTGCAATTAAGTGGTACCTATATTGAGGGCTTCAGAAAACAAAAATATGTAATAAAAAGAGAACAACTGTTTCATACAGTTGGACTCTAAAGGGAATATTTTTCACTTACTACTTATTGAAAAGATTGAGTTCATTATGTAATGCCCCAAAATGAATACTCAGTGCTAATGTTAAATACAAACATAAACCTACAATCCACCAGAGGGAGGAAGACACAATTACACATAAAGTACATTCAGACTATGAGTGTTTATAACCAGGTGAAACCTCAGTTTTCCCGAAGCTCTGAGTTAGCTGCTGCTGTATACCACACCAAGACCAACATAAGTACTTCAAGAGTCATCCCTTGGGCTGTTCACAGTTCTCTGAGGCAAGGGGACATGGAACAGTCAAACTGAGCTCATTTGCTGAGCTAAGTCTGATAAGGAGTATGGACAAGCAGTGTGAAGTGGGGGTCTGGATAGGGCCAGGACATGGTACTTTCCCTGAAGAGGTATTTTTCCGTCACATATAATACAGACATTTAATTGCTGAGTGTAGATGGGTAGAGATGACTGTTTTAGTGGGGTATCTGACACCCTTTCCCTGGTTATACTGTCACAGAGCAATGCTGCCAGTATCTCTGTTTCATAGCTTAAGGAGGACAGAAATTGTTGCTCTATAAGCAAAATTTTAAGATAGCTATTGTGATGGAGCCTTGCTTGGGTAAGCAGATAATTTTGGGATTTTTCTGGTCATGAAAACTATGGCAACAGTATCTGCATTAAATGATGAGCAATAAACAAACCCACAATATATCCAGATTACATTCCTATCTGTGAGTCATATTCTAGTAATTTCTGCACACTGTGGTCAAAGCTCCAATCTGAGCAGTGTTCTCTAAGAAAAGTTGTCTGCATGGACACTCCCCCACCAATACACAGGCTCTGTTGAATTAAAAGGGCAAAGGAAACTAATGCTCACCACATGCTGCAATTCTGGTCTGTCTTCTAATTCTTCGACAACTTTTTTAATCTGAGGAAAAAGAAAAATTAAAATGCAGTTATGAGGAGACAGTCATATTGACAAATTACCCGATACACTTTACTGTGGACACGGTATTGTGGACACTCATCTAGTAATACACGCTATGGTTTGAATGTGCCTTGCTCCCCACCAAAACCTGAGTCCATGCTTGATTCTTAATGTAATCACTAAAAGGTGGTGAGACTCTTTCAGATGAAGGGTTTAGTTGGAAGTGACTGATTACCATATAAAGGATTCAACTGGACTCTTTCTCAAGAGTCCAGTTAGGTTACATGAGAGCATATAGTTATTAAAGAATGAGGAGGTGGCCACTTCCAGGCCACTTGCATCTGCCTTCTTTCTTCCAGGGTACACACGACCTCTCACAAGGCTCATCCTGTCTCCTGGTGTGCAACACCCTACACTGACCGGCCACTCTGCCAGCAAGAAGGCTATCACCAAATGCAGCCTCTTGATCTTGGGCCAGGTTATAAGCCAAAGAAACCCATTTCCTCTTGTCTGTGGTGTGTTATTAACAACAGAGAACAGGTTTATTAGATATAAAAAAGACTCACTGAAATTTTGTCTTCATTGTCCAAAAGCATGTCAACAGCTTTCTGAAATACAAGCACAGCCATAGTCACTTGTCTGCCACACAAGAACACTAAACAAAATGCAGTACCACAGTTATACAGGCCAACGGTTTATTTCTTACACTTAAGAAGCACTGAACTTCATGCTGTAAAATAATCTTTTTGTATACTGTGAATATGTGTCACTGTGACTGGTTTAATTAAAAATTGAACAGCCAACAGCTAGGTAGGATTTTTGAGGCAGAGAGGATGCTGGGAAGAAGAAAGGAATCGCCAGCCAGATGGAGAAGGAGCAAGACATGCAGGTAAATGCCACATGACATGCATGTGTTGCCAGTCATGTGGCAACACATAGATAAATAAAATGGGTAAATTTAAGTTATAAGAGCTAGTAGAACAAGTCTAAGGCACGGCTGAGCTTTCATAACTAATAAGTCTCTGTGTGATTGTTTGGGAGCTGGGTGTCAGGACAGAGAAGACTCTACAGCTTCATAAATGGTCCTATGGAAAATGCCGTTTGATGAGGGATACAAATTCAAATGTGTCTCAATCTGAGGTCAGTGTGTTTTGTATATTGTTAAACCACTGCACTGCTCTATTTTTACCAGATGTAAAAGTTACTACTGTATTCAAAATAGAAAACACGTTCTAGCCCCTTGATGTCTCAACTATGCTTACAAATTCCCATGTGATCCTCAGTAGCTCTGGTAAATATTGCAATACCACAGTCACAGAAGTGAGCAAGGGCTAGCCTTTTTAAGAACAGGTTAACTACAGGGAAAAAAAAATGAAATGTCTGAAATCTCCAAATATATAAAACTGGGGGATTCCAGTTTTCTATATTATCTATCACATTCATAAAACACTAATTATTTATGATAAGAGATAGAAGGATGACAGCCCATCTAATAAAATAACCGGGTCTTGCTGTTACCACCCTAATGTCTGTTCCAAATGATATTTTTGTTATATAAATAAGGGTGTTTGATTATTCCAAAGATCCTTTCTAACTTGAAAACTATGATACCTTAACTTTAGCTTAAATTCTCTGAATAGCAATTAGTTTCAGCTCAGCTATCTCTTTCCCACAGGTGCATATGTTAATTAGACTTTCAAGACACAGGAGAAAATGGATAAGGGGAATGTAATTATGCAATAATGTAATGTGCACATGCATGCATGCCTCAGTTACCACATTTGACTGCATGCTGCCATTTTTCCTGCCCCGAGGATCATGGACTAAACCTCTAAAACTTTAAGCAAGCCCCAGTTAAATGCTTCTTTTATATGAGTTTCCATGGTCATGGCATTTCTTCATAGCAATAAAACATTGACTAAGACAAGAGATCTTTCATATTTTTCATTAGATTTATTCTAAGGTACTTGGGGTGGGGATATTATGATGTGTGTGTGTGTTTTTTTTAAACTTGTTTACTTCTCAGAATGTTTGTTATTGGTATATAGGGAGGCTACTGAGTTTTGCATGTTGATTTCTGGATCCTGCTATTTTACTGAAAGTGTTGATCAAGAGTTTTCTGGAGGCATCTTCAGGATCTCTCACATCAAGGCACATGCCTGCAAATAAGAATGCTTTTCTCTTTTCCTTTATTCTAATCTCTTCTATTTCCTTGTCTTATTATTGCACCTAAGACTCCAAGCACTATACCAACTGGAGAACTTAGAGATCTTTCTCTTATATTCAACTTTTCTTTGGAATTTTTTTCCCTTTCTGGTATGTTGGTTATCGTTCTGTTGTACTTAGTCTTTATTATGGTAAGCTATGTTTCTTCTATTTTTGTTTTATTATGAGTGAAAGCTGAGCTTTTTCAGATGCCTTCCTAGGGTAATTTTCTCCACCTACTCCAGTGAGGTTGTGATTTCTTTCCAAGAGTCTGTCAACACATAATGTGTTACATTTATTGAACCATTCTTGTATTCCAGGAATGAAGTCAACTTGATTCTGGTGAAAGATTTTTCTATTGTGATGAATTCAATTTGAAAGTATTACACTGAGAACTTTGGCATTTACATACGTCAGGGAAACTGGCCTGCAACTGTCTCTTGTGTGTAAATGTGTCTTTACCTGGTTATGGTATCATGAAATAGAATCTTGATGAAATGGGGTGGGCAGAGTTCCTTTACTTTCTGCTTTATAGAACAGTCTAAGGGACACGTAGTTTTTCATTAAAGTTCTGGCAGAATTCAACAGTGAATTCACCTCAGCCTAGGCTTTTATAGTTGGGAGATGTTTTATTTCTTCAATCATTTCATGTTTTTTGATACATCTCTGTCTAATTTGTTCACATCCATATGGTTTAATTTTGGTAGGTATATGCCTAGAAATTATTTTTGTTAGTTTGGCTATAGTTTGCCAATGCTTGTTTTTTAAAGAACCAAAATCTTGTCTCATAATTCTTTGTATTAATTTTTTTATTTCAATTTTATTAATTTCTTCTATGATGTTAAAATTTTATGCATATGAAGGTTTTGCATAAAACACACACACACACACACACACACACACACACACACACACACACACACACAGACACACACAGACACACACACACACGCACAACTACTTATATGTATGATGCCCATGGAGAAAAGAAGAGGGCACTGGATCCCCTGAAATGGAGTTAGAGATAGTTGTGAACTTCCATGTGGGTTTTGGGAAATGAACCTGGGCCCTGTCAAGGGCAGGGAATACAACTAATCACTAAGCTGTCTCTAACTGCATTCTCCTGTAGTCTTTATTATTTTTTCTATTGACTGATTTGGGGTTTGGCTGATACTCATTTTTCTAGGACCCTGGAATGAATCATTAAATTATTTATTTGAGATATCTAGTGTCTTTAATGTAAGCACCTATTCATATAAATTTCCCTCTTAGAACTACTTTCATTGTATTCCCCATGTTCTGATAAGCTATGTTTTCATTTTCATTTGATTCTAGGGCATTCATTTTCCCTCCTGATTTCTGTGGTACTCTAGTTATTATTCAATAATGTGTTATTTAATCTTCACAAGCTTGTGGAATCTCTGTATTTTATTGATGTCTAGTTTTATTCCACTGTGATCAGACAGAATAAATTGTTTCAATTTCCTTGTATCTGTTAAGACTTGCTTTATGCTATAAAGTGTGGTTTGCTTAAAAAGTTCCATGATTGCTGAGAATGTATATTCTATAGTAAACAAGTGGAAATTCTATAGATTTTGGAGAAGTCCCTTTGTTCTATGTCACTTACCTCTTACCTCTGCTTCTTTTTAAATATTTTGTCAGGATGACCTGTTTACTGCTAAGAGGGAGACCCAGAAGTCACCCACTATCATTGTGCCTGGCAAACGGTGCCTTTGCATCCAGTGCTGTTTCATGAAACAATGTTCAGTGCAAGATGTTCAAAACTGTTAGATTCTCCTGATAGACTTCCCTGAATAGGAAGTGACTTTATTTTTTCTAAGTTTTGTTCAAAGTTTATTTTGTTAGACATTAGAATAGCACCACCTACCTATTTTCTAAGTTCTATTTGTTTAGAATACCTTTTTCTCTCTTTTTATCCTAAGGCTCTATTTGTCTTTACACCTAAGGTATATATTTTTGCAGACAAGTAGATGGGTACTGTTTTAATCCAACATTCTAGTTCATGTCTTAAAAAATATTTTTTGTTACTTAGCTTTGTTTTCAAGGGTGTGTGTTCATGCATGTGGATGTGTGTGTGTAGGTCAGAGGATACATTTCAGGAATTGGTCTTCTCCTTCCACCATGTGGGTCCCAAGTATCAGACTCAAGTTGTCAAGTCAGCAAGTCAGGTTTGGTGGCAAGTGTCTACCTGTTGAGCCATTTCACCAGCCCTAGGCTGTCTCTGACTGGAGAGTTATGCCCATTAATACCAAGTCACTACTGGAAGGTCTGTATTAATGGCTATCATTTGTTTTTTTTTTTTTCCTAGTGCCTTCTCCATGTAGCTTATAGGTCTTCTATGATTTTGTTTTCCTCTCTTTGCTTCTGGAGACTTCTTTCTCTCTGTAGCTTGCAGATGTGGAGTATGGGGAGGAAGAACTCACCCCCTACCTTGCTGTTTTGTTCCGTACTCTAGGATAGAGACTGCAGGTTTTCTTATTACCCACCACCTGACACTTGTGTGTTTATCTTGTCTTTTACACTCTGCCACCACTGTGATGCCCTGCTGCCTTTCCATACTTCTCATCATTCTATTGGAAATACAGGACAGTTTGCCTATCCATGGGCTGCCATCTCTTTCCCTTCTTTAATCACATGCTTTTTATAATCAGAGCCCCTGCATGAACTGCCAGGGAGCTACATGATTCTCCATGGTCCTAAATGACTAGACTTACAGTATGAAAAGAGGCTGAACATCCCTCAGAATAAGCTGTTGTGAAGAGTAATACTGCACAGCATATCCCTAAGTGTAGTGTACCATGTGGAAATGTGTTCATCCTTCCGGAGCTTGTAGAGAGCACTTTATAATTTATTTCCCAAATAAGAGCCTCAGTTTTTATGAGCATCAGTATTTCCAATCATTACTACTTTTAATTAGTTCTTTTTACAAATGGGGAGGGGAGAGGGAGAGACAAGGAGAGAGGGACAGGAAGAGGGACAGGAAGACAGAAGGAGAGTAGCAAGGAAAGGGAGAGGTGAGAGATGGGGGAGGGAGGAGAGATGGAGGGGGAGAGGGAAAAAGAGAGGGGAGAGAGAAATAGAGAGACTGACTGTTTCACTTTGTGAACGCTCTTGGGAGCTGTGGAGGTGTATAAGAAGTAGGCTGAGAAAGCCAGGAGGAGTATGGCAGTAAGCAGCATTCCTCCATAGCTTCTGCTTCAACTCCTGACTCCAGATTTATCCCTTGAGCTCCTGCCTTGGCTTCCTTCAATGGAGTATGACAGAGGATATATAAAACATGTCAACCTTTTGCTTTTGGCTATAGTCTTTATCATCAAAAATAAAAATCAAACTAGGACAGGGTCTAAACAGAAATTCATTTAAATTTTCACACTGAGACACAGACTAAGACCTTCCTTCCCTTCATCCATTCATCCCTCCCTCCCTTCTTTCTTCCTTCCTTAACTTCTCTTATGAATTATGTGAATTGTTAAAACAAAATAGCACAAATGCCTCTTGTCAAGCACTACATCAGTGTTTTGGATACAGCTCAGTGGAAGAACCGGTGCTTACTATGTACAAGGCCTTGGGTTTGACCCCAGTCCTGCCACCACCACAAAAAAAGTGCCTGTCATTAAGCTACAATGGCTTACTCAGAATAACTATGCAAAAAAAGGCTTCCAGAATGCCAACTGCTGAAAGTCAGAGGGTTCTAAGCATGGCCAGCAGCATATGATCAAGTACGTGATTCACTTGGACAGGTAGCCCCTGATTAGCCCTTTGAATAGTTAATAGTCAATATGTAGAAATAAGAAACATATTACCTCTGAATCGAAATCCATTAATAAAACTATCTTATCCTTGATGGAGCTGAAAAGATTATGCTTGTGTATCAGTTGGAAAACATCTTTATGTCTTAATGTTAAGTATATTTCCAAAGCATTGCCATAATTTTTGTCATAGGTGTACCTGGAAATAAAAAATTAATATTCATTAGCAGTTACAATTAAAATGCACAGATTATGTTTCATAATATTAGAGACTAAATTAGTTGTTCAAATAGAAGAATTAACTTTACTAGGCAAAGTATTCACTGAGATTTAAAAACATATGGTTCCTATGTACTCTTTTATAGAATCCTGGCTTTTATCTCACCAAATTTGAAAAAAATGCATAATATTCAAGTAATTAATGTTCCTTCTTGTGGTCTCAGCCTTAAAGGTTTTATAGAAATCTATACTCCAGTTATTCAACTTATGGTCCAAAATGAAGGTGATACTCTTCTTATGTAATAGAAGAACCAATCTGAATTCTTGTAAGCAGTGTTCAGCTGACAAATGAGTTATATTCCAGCTCATCTGGAGGAGGCTTGAATAAAGCTGAAATGTATTTTTCCTTTGAAACATGCTCTCACACTAAGTCCCTCATTTGGTTGAGGAAAGCCAGTTGGACAGAAATCATCCTGCTGTTCACTATTAACTGTGCTACAAAGACCAGGGGCATCCAGAAAAAAAGCTTGTGATAGAAAACAATGAGTGCTCTAATTTAGAATGTCACAATCAAGACTTCCTATGTGCCAAGTCTAATGTGGTTCTGATGTCATGGGTTCTTTTGTCAGACTTCAACAAAAATGAAAAGTGAGAGAAATCCGAGGTTTGTGAGTGCTGAGGAAGGGGTACAGCAGGCCTTCCTTCTTGAACTGGTCTATGGTATACCAACTAGTGCTCTACACTGAGGCTCTTTGACACTCTAACTTATCTCTGTATCTCATACATGGCAGAAAGCCAGATGAAAGTACCCAATAAAGGGAAAACACTCATCAAACATCTCTTGCTGAGAAAGTTTGAAATTATCCCTATATCAAAGTGTGACCTGTAACTGTACAGATAAAGATTCTGAAGCAGAAAAAGCAACAGGCTTGCAAACTTAAGAATAACAGAATCCAGAGCCTGGCTCAAGGGGAGAGCCTGAGGGAGCCTGGTACCCTTCTATCTCCTCACCAGGACCCACACCACCCCACTCCTCTGGAAAATCACAGGATAATGCGGCTCTACACATTCATCTTCTAGTTACTCACCTGAGACTTAGAAAGCGGTTTCCAGTGAAGAGTGATAAGGAGAATGGAAAGGCATCCTCACCACTCTGAGATTTACAAGCACTAAAACATACTCACAGTTCGGCCAGTGTTTTCAATAAAGTCTTGTTCTGACTGTCCTTCTTCAGGTGGTCTCGAACTGCTTGAACGATCACTGAATTGTTATACAGATCTCCAGGCCACTCTCTGATCAATGTGGCAAAGCCCTAACCAAAGAAGAAGAGCAGGAAAATAAAACAAACGAAAAAAAAAAAAAAAAAAAAAAAAAAAAAAAAAAAAAAAAAAAACACTGCATAGTGTGATGGTGTGATTGCATTTGGGTTTTAATTCACTGTCTCTTGCTCTTTACTCCCTCCCCAATGCAGGACACAGAAACTTAGTGGGTCATAAGCCCACTAAGAACACCTTAAGAGGGGTCCAAACCCTGCCTGTGAGGAAGGAATGCCAAGCAACCACACCAGACAGGCCTCTGGCTTTCCCCATCTCTCTATTAGCCATCATGCCTACACAATGAAGTTTCCACAAATGCCCAACACACCACGGTTCAGAAAGCTTCCTGAAGAGCAAAAAGGAAGAAAAGAAAATTGAGACGCTGGGCACTCCAGATAAGTGGTTCGCCACCCAAGGACAGGAGGCGATGGGTCTCATTATATTGCCGAGTTTGACTCAAATTCACAATCTCCTGATTCAGCCTTTTGAGTAGCTGGAATTACAAGTGTACACTACTGGACTTAGGGTTCTTTTCATTTGTTTTTGTGTTTTGCAACCTGATCTTTAGTGTTCTGTTGGCAGCCCAGAATTTTTCATGGACATAATTTTGGCAAACAGTTCCTGTGGAACATTGCTACTTGATTCATTACGTGATCATTTAAAATGAAACATTAAGATGAGAAAAATGGAAAATAATATTTAAATCATTTATGTAGTTTAATAACAATAAAATTATTTCTAACTTCTTTAGTGGTATTCATGAGGCAGATATAACAATAATGCAGGAGAAAGTCAGGTTGATTTCCTTCAGCCACAGTCAGATATGACATGAATTGGTAGAGTAATTTTGATGACATAATTTAAATTACTTTTGCATCAAATCCATGTGACATCAATGTGAAAGGATGAAAAAGTCAAATTTCTAGACTTTGTAACACATGGAGAACAAACCATGATCATGTGAGAATTCCTTACCTCATAATCACTTTCCAAAAATTCGTGTAAGATCATTTCATAGATGAGTGGTTTCAGGACTGGGTCCCCTCTTGGTAAATAAGGACTGATTGCCTAGGGAGGAAGGGACAGAGTCCTTTCAGTAGTGGTATGACAGCTGCATCCCGAATGTGTAGACTACATAAAGTATAGTTTTAACCTTAAAAATTTAAGGGATCAGGCATAATGGAACATCCAGAAAAGATTCAAATAAATTCTATTACCTAATAGAAAGCTACAAAGTATTTTAAAGAGAGTGTATGTGTTTGTGTGTGTGTTATGTGTATGTGTGTGTCTTTATGTGTATGTGTGTGCAACAAAAGTACAAAAGTGATCTCATTAACCTTTATTCTTTTCTTCTTGATTAATTAATGAAAATCTAATAGTTATTTTATATTTCTTTTTAACTTTCCTTATATTGGATGTAATGTATCAATTAATCCTTTAAAAATTCAATCATCTTATGAAGCAACCTTGCCACAAATGTATGAAAATGCTATAACAAAGCCCATTTATTTATAAGGCAACTTTAAACAATAATGTAAATTTTAACAGTATATTCTTAATTTCATTAGAGTATTCAAAAAGCTCACAGATGATGAAAGCTTTAAAAAAAACCCTTTAAAGGAATATAAAAATGACTGGTATATATGTTGTGCCCCCGCTGAAAATATTAAAATAAAGTGGTAAAATTTCTCATCAGAGCTACAGTCAAATGTTTTCATCTGACTTCCTACACGTGACAGATTACTCAAGCACCCAGAGTGAGCTAAATGCAACAGCACTTGTCTACCATTTTTGAAGCCCCTGGTTCCAGATGAACACCACAAAAGAAAAAAAAATGAAGAATGAATGAATTCTTGAGTAAATTTAAAAAGTGTTACACTGTAAAATCTATTATACGAAATTACAACTATTCCCAAGTCACTAACAGAAAGATGAACAAGCCTATACACAGCACATGAACCACACAGGTAACATGGCAGATATGTATCCATTTGATACAAACAAATATAACAGTTAATTCTTCTTTCAAGAAAATACATACTTCCTAACTAAGAACTGCTTTGTCTCAATTTTATTCTTATTTTAATTAAGGGTTAAGATAAAATAGCTTACTTTAAGCTGTCCAATTTCTTTAAATTTGTAAACTTCATATTCCCAGAGGGCTGCATTTTTCCCAAGAATTTTCTGGCATTTTCTGGCAGCAAGAACATCCAAGGAAGAAATAAAATGTAAATAAAAATAATGAGATAATGTAAGTGGACATTTCCCCAGTCGTTTAGGTAAACCTGTCCCCAGAGCTTTGACGTGGCTCCATCTTTATCGTCAACAAACATGAAGGTGTCACCGTTACTCATCTGACTGTATATGGAGTTAACAGAAATCATGAAACTATACAAAATACTAAAGAACGAGTAGGTCTCTTTCAGAAGACTAGGAATTTCCCAACTTTGCTATTTATCCAGAAAGCACTGCTGGCTTGGACTTTCTATAGGAAAACTCACTATATCCCAAATGCCAACACCTTCCTGGTCAGATTTAAACAAGGAGGTGAAAAGGCAGACTTCAGAAAATCAGATTCCCAGCCTACCACATAATTTACAGGGCTGAATTTCAATCTCAGGGCAATAAGGGCAGGTCTGAAGGTGATCTCACAAGCTTTATCATTTCCATTTAGCTGTCACACTTTTGTGAAGAGCCATTGTCCTTCGGCTAGATGTCTTCCGAATGCATGTGTGACACAACTGGCCCTAAAACCTAGAGGGCACACAAAGTGAAAGCTGTGGGCAACTCTGCTTACTCTCTACACAGTGATGGAGAAGACATTCTAACTCATGCAGGCCAATAAGCAGTCTGCCTGCCCAATGTGTGCTGTGCTGTGAAAAGAAGGACTGGAGTTATGTTGTATGGGCTGACACTGCACTCCTGCTAATCTGGACAGTCCTTTAATTCTGTGCAGAAGGCTCATGTCTTACACCAGACCTTTTTAATTAGAAAGAATCACTTATATTTATTGTTACCATCAGCCATAAATAACTGTGAGGATGTCATTATTACCGTGCAGCCATGTCATATTCTCCTCTTGCCACCAGGTGGTTTATATATGCCAACCCAATATCCTACAGAAAGGCAAATGAAGTATATTAGTAATGCAACTAAAACAACTGAAGAGTTGTGTGTCAGTTTCTGAGCAGTCAGGGTCCTGTGAGAACTGAGGGCCCAAGTCTGTCTGTGTCATATGTCTGTGGGTGATATTACATGTCTGTGGGTGATATTACACTTTAGCACATTTATATTTAATGTACTTATTTTTGTTTTATGTAAGTTTTAATAATCAAAGTTTTAAAATTTGAACCTTGTTTTCATGTGAAAATCTAACCTATCCCCCTCAGATATGCTCTACAAAGGAAGTCATTGATACTAGAAATAGCCTAATGTTGTCACTGGATATAAAGGTTTGTTTCCATTGTCTTCTGCTAAATGTGACCTCTTACACAGAAGTCTAAGACATGTAAGGAAAATGAAGTAAATGAAGTGGCAGGTTGTGATACTAAAGGGGATATGGAAACACACAGCTAAAATCAACGGCCATGTGAGTGGCAGTATGGAAACCTAATACAGTAGAAGCTTCCATATATATATATATATATA